CTCATAAGGCTGGGATTAAGATAAAGGCTGGCCTCGGCTTTCACCTGGAGGTTCTGAGTGAGAATCCACTTCCAGATTCATTCAAGTTTTTGGCAGAATCTAGTTCCTGTCCTCTTTTCCGGCTAGAATCATGGAGGGCATTCAAGAGAAGAAAAACAAGGTTCCTGCTGTGGCAGCCACCAAGACAAGGGTTCCTGCTGTGCCAGAAACACTTGAGAAAAAGTGAAGGAACTTTGTGGAACTGAAGATCAAGCACTTGAGAAAAAAGTTAGCTCAAAAGATACTTCGAAAGGCAAGGAGGAAGCTTACCTATGAAAAAGCTAAGCACTATCATAAGGAATGAGACAGATGTACAGAACTGAGATTTACATGGCCAAGATGGCAAGAAAAGCTGGCAACTTCTGTGTACCTGCAGATCCCAAATTGGCATTTATCATCAGCATTAGAGGTATCAATCGAGTGAGAAAGGTTTGAAAGGTATTGCAGCTTCTTCATCTTTGCCAGATCTTCACCTTTGCTAAGCTCAACAAGGCCTCAATTAACATGCTGAGAACTGTGGAACCATATATTGCATGGAGGTACCCAAACCTGAAGTTAGTAAATGAACCGATTTACAAGCGTGGTTATGGCAAGATCAATAAGAAGTGAATTGCTTTGACAGATAACTTGTTGATTGCTGAATCTCTTGGTAAATTTGGTATCATCTTCATGAATGATCTGATTCATGAAATCTGTACTGTTGAAAAATGCTTCAAAGAAGTAAATAACTTCCTGTGGCCTTTCAAATTATCTTCTCTATGAGGTGGAGACCACCCATTTTGTGGAAGGTGGAGATGCTGGCAATAGGGAAGACCAGATCAACAGACTTATTAGAAGGATAAACTAAGGTATCCCCCATGATTATTTTTGTAATGTGGTCAGTAAATAAACAGAGTGTCTGTTTTCATACTGAAAAAAAAAATCTAGTTCCCGTGGTTGTGACTGTTGTCTTGAGTGTCTAGAAGCCAGTATGTTTCTTAGTTTGAGGTCATCAAACTAACAATGGTATGTGAAGTCTTTCTCACACTTTAAATTTATCTCACTCTCTATTCTGTCACAGTTCTCTGTTTTCCTTTTTCCTCTTCTGTTTTTTATTGTTGTTATTGTTTGTTTTTTAATTTTTTTCTCTACGTGTGAGCAAAAGACAGAGACATGGTATCCCTAACAGAATCTTATCACCACAGTCTACCCCCAGCCAGTCCTGGATCATGAATACACATGTCCCTGGTTTACTTAGGGAGGTCTTCGGATACACACCTGTAACCCTCCTAGGTGTAAGCCTTGCTGAGCATTGGATTTTACTGCTGGGCCACTATTTAGCCTCTTCTGGTTTTAGGAACTCATGTGATTATACACTATGGCATACTATTCAGCCATAAGGAACAGTGAGACACTGTCATTTGACTCAGAGTGTTTGAATATAAAAGACTTGATGCAAGCAAAGTAAACAGACTTTGAAAGGCAAACACTGTATATCCCTACTCAATATATACCAATAGTCTGCACTCTGGCAGAAATCTAAAGATCCAAAGATATAGTAGGGAGGATAACTGTAGATATCAGTCTGTAAGGCAGGGGAGTGGATAGTAGAGGGTAAGTGGGAGAATATAAAATTCTCTATGGAAAATTATGTATATGGAGCCAGCAAATGGCATAATAGTCACATCTCTGGACATGGCCAACCATACTTTGAGTCCTGGACCCAGTGACTTGAAAATCATGCCAGGCACATTCTGGGAAAAGAATGGAGGAGAAGGGACTGCAACATGGCCATCCCCCCTGGGGGTGATTTCTCACTTTCCCTCTCACTGTCTCTGTCTCTCTTGCTCTCTCTGGCAAGTGTGCATGCCCTAAGGCAAAAACCAAAAAAAAGAAAATGATGTAAATGGTAATATTCTTGATTTGATTGTCAAAATTAATAAGTAGATTGGAAAAAAATGAAGATCTCATGTGATTACATTGGATTCACCCAGATAATCAAAGATAATCCTCACTTTTTTTTTTTTTTGGAGAGATTTTCACTATAGGGCGCGTGCACTCGCCAGACAGACAGAGACAGACATAGAGACAGAAAGCGAGAAATCACCCCCCAGGGGGGATGGTCATGCCGCAATCCCTTCTCCTCCATTCTCCTCTCGGGATCTTGGGCATGCACGCACATGCGCCCAGCGTGAGTTTTAAGCCACCGGGTCCGGGATACGAACCGCAGTCGACTACGTGGGAGTCCAGTGACATAGCCATTATGCTAACTGCTGGTTCCCTCCTCACTTTTTTTTTTTTGAAAAAAATTATTTTGTGCCCAATAGGGTGCCTGCTCTCACCAGAGAGGGACAGAGAGAGGGAAAGTAAGAAATCACCAGGGGATAGCCACACCACAATCCCTTTTCTGTTTTTCTCTTGGGATTTTCAGTATGTACCCACATGTGCCTAACATGATTTTCAAACTGCTGGGTCTGGGACTGGAACCAGAGTCAGCTAAATGGGAGTCCAGCACCTTAACCACCACACCACCTGCTGGCCCCAATAATCTCCCTTACGAATGGATTGAAAAAGTGTGGCACATATACTCTATGGAATACTATTCAACCATAAATAAAAACAAGAACCTGGCATTTGATAGAAAGTGGTCGAATGTGGAAGATTTATTGGTGAGCGAAGCAAGTCAGGCTGTGAAAGAAAGATATTGTATGTCTTCACTTAATACATGGTAGAGACTGAAAGATCGGAAAACATAAAAGCATTGAAAATAGCTATGGACACTGGATATAGTTGTGGAAGTAGGGTGGGAGAGTGAAAGAAAAAAGGGAAGGGAATTTGGTGGAAAAATAGAGAGGCAAGACATTTATGGTGCACAATAATGATTTATTACCTGTTGTTGATATTGTGTATAGTATTCCTCAACTAGACTGGTCTGAGGTGTATTTCATATTAGGTAAATTCTCTTTGCAAGCCAAATGTATAGTAGTCAAATATATAAAATATAATAATAATAAAAAGTTAGCTGATTAGTAACTTAATTATATCTGCAAAGCCCCTTCTGCCACATGATACAGCATCATCCCTGGTGTGACATTAGAGGACGAAGGTCATGGGGACTGAATTCTCTATCCATCTATCCGATATGTGAATAAGTCTATGTAGCTAATATATATGTACACATATTCCGTCCATTTGTCTATCATTGAAAAGAACTTGTGTTATGTGAACAACTACTATTGTAGTTAATCTTATATATTAATTAATACTTTAACTATCACCGAGTGGTGATCAAGGAACTATGTGTCCTCTCTGTGGAGAAGGTTGTTGCGTTTTTGGTTGTAGGACAGGTAATCACGTCATGTTAGAAAGTGTGGGTGATTAAGGTCAACAGAGGTGTGTATGGAAAACAAGTTGAAAGTGGACTGGTTGTGTACTAACTGGGTCAACTTAGGAAAATAGAAACTGCATTTCTTAGAATTCTATTTCAAGTACAGGATTGGGTTAGGATAGGCACAAGAAAAATTTGCAATCAGGACTTTTTTATTTTTTAAAAATTTGTGGGCCAGTAGGTGGCATGGTGGTTAAGGTGCTGGATTCCCACATGACTAACTACAGTTCAAGTCCCAGACCTGGTGGCTTGCTTTCTTGCTTTCCCTTTCTCTCTCTCTGTCTCTTTCTGGTGAAATTTAAAAATAATAGTAATAACAAATAAATAAATCTTTTAAAAAATTTGCTATAGGGCATGCTCCTTCTTACCAGAGAGAGAGAAAGTGAGAAAAGTGAGAAAGCACTCCCCAGGAAGGATGACCATGCTACAATCTCTTCTCCATTCTTCTCTCAAGATTCTGGGCATGCACAAACATACATGCCCTCAGTGTGTCCTTTAGGCTGCCAGGTCTGGGACTCAAACCATACAGTCACCTATATAGGATCCAACTGCCTCAATTACCATGCCACTGATAGGCCCATAATCAGGACTATTTTTTCTTTAAGAGAGATTTTTGCTGTAGGGCGCATGTGCTTGCTGGAAAGACAGAGACAGAGAGACAGAAAGTGAGAAGTCATCTCCCACCTGAGAGGGGGATAGTCATACCACAATCCCTTCTCCTCCACTATCCTCTTGAGACCTTGGGCACACATGCACATGCTCCTGTCATGAGTTTAAACCACCGGATCCAGGACTTGAACCGCGGTCAATCATGTGGGAGTTCAGGGACACAACCATTATGCCATCTGCTGACCCCCAATCAGGACTGTTTTTAAAAGGCCCAGATCTCTCACACAGAATAGAATAATTTAGATGGTAGCTATGATGCTGTGATTGCAATTATCTAATGTCCATACACATTGACAAGGAATCTGCCAAAATGGAAAGTTAGTTTTATTAAAGTAGCAAGCTTATGGGGTGGCTTTTTCAATTCCAGAATTTCTCTCTCTCTCTCTCTCTATATATATATATTTTAAAAGAGGACAAATTTGAACATGTATTCCCAAAAGCTTAAAAAAAAATCCTACCATTTATAGAGACCCAATTAATGTACCCAGTTGACTACAGGACAAAGTTAAAACTCCTTCAGTAATAGCCCCAAAGCTCTTACAAATCTGTTCGCAAACTGCTTCGTGTCTTTACCTACCTCCCATTTTCTTATATACTTATTTTGCTATGAGGTACATGTGCTTGCGAGGGTGAGTAGAGTGAGAAAATACCCCTGTAAAGGGGGATGGCCATGCTGCAGTCCCTTCTCCATTCTCCTCCTGGGGTTTTGGGCATGTGCGTGTGTGCGCGCGCACACACACACACATACACCTGGCATGTTTATCAAGCTGCCAGGTCCAGCTGGGATCTAGCTACCTTAACCACGATACAGCCAGCTGTCTCTTCTCCATTTGCTTAATGCTTCCTCTAGTCTGGTCTTGCCCCCATCTTTGACACAGATATTTCTGATTTCTGCTCTATTTTAAGGATTAAAACATGTTTTCAGGGTTGTTTTTCTAGGAACAGGATTCTGGTTCTTCTGGTCTATTGTTTTTCTGAGTTTATCTGGAATCTTGACTGCCTACTCTTCACTGCTATTGGTGAGTAATGCTTCCCATTTCTCCAGCTCCCTTTGTGAGTAGCCACGTGAGATGCTCCTGCCTGTCGTGTAGTATCCAGTTGGTGATGGAAGTCTTAAGTACCAAAGATCATTCTTGTCACTGTAGAATTGGTATTTACATCAGTGACTTGAATTTTATGCACAAGGTAACAAGGGATTGGCATTTGAGGGTGGGGTAGAGGGAGGTTTGCACTATTAGAGGTTTTGCATTTTTAAGAAATAGTTTTTTTTTTTTTTTTTTTTTTTTTTTTTAGAGGTTTTTGCTATAAGGAACGTGCACTTGTCAGAGAGAGAGACAGACAGAAAGCGAGACCCCCCCCCCACACACACACACCCCATACACACACAGGGATGGCCACTCTGTAATCCCTTATCCTCCATTCTCCTCTCGGGATCCTGGGCACACGTGTATACATGCCCGGCATGAGTTTAAGGCACTGGGTCCAAAACTCGAACTGAGGTGGACTACATGGGAGTCCAGCAACATAGTCATTATGCCAACTGCTTGTCCCAAGAGAATGTGTCTTACTAATCTGGCCCTTCAAAAGGGTGATAGATGGGGCCAGTAGGTGTTGTGTTGGTTAAGGTGCTGGATTCTCACATGACCGATGACAGTTTGAATCACGGACTGGCAACTTGAGACTCACATTGGGTAGGTGTGCATGCGTGGCCAAAATCCCAGGAGGAGAAGGGATTGTGGTGTGGCCATCCCCCCCGGAGGGTGATTTCTCACTTTCCCTCTCACTATCCCTCTCAGGCCGGTGCAAGTGCCCTATGGCAAAAAAACTTATGAAAAAGAAAGAAAGAAAGAAAGACAGACAGACAGACACGGTGACAGGTCATCATTTCCTGTCCCTGTTTCATACTCTATGCTATGGATCATTTAGTATTGTCCTTTCTGACGTACATGTTCACATCAGCAGTACCTTTTTCATTTTATATTCTATCTCCTGAAAACCACTCTTTTGGGTTTTATAAATTAGGTAGTTGGTTAAATCTGTTCTAATATACAAATGCTAGTCACTTGCCCAAATGCAAAGTATCTTTTAGCACATGAATTTTTTTTGCAAAAGCTTAATGGTAAGATAATTTCAGGTAGCTAGAGTTTTTTGAAGCCCATTTATATTCAGGGCACATAGGTTTCTCTGATTTGACCTATCTCTGTCCCCACTGATTTTCTGTCTGATACAGAGAAACCCAACCCCCATACTTTTGCCATTTGCATTAATTTTTTTCTTTTAACAATTCTTAATCATTGTATGAGCAGAACACTATGTTAAGTGCTGAGTATATAGACATAAATAACGTGTGGTTTCTGTCTTTATGCAGGGCACTTGATAGAGGTAGATATGAGATAATTGTTCCTACATTCAGTGTTTAGAATCTAGTAGGACAGCTAAGTCATAGAGTTAAAAATAACAATCACAGGAGCATTGTATTTGTCAGTAGAGGCCTGAAGTTCTACAGAGGTTCATAGAAGAATTGACTTCTAGTCAAGAGGATTAAATTGCTTCTTTTTTTTTTTTTTTTTGAGAGGTTTTCACTATAGGGCGCGTGCACTCGCCAGACAGAGAGAGAAATAGAGACAGAAAGCGAGAAATCATCCCCCAGGGGGGATGGCCACGCCGCAATCCCTTCTCTTCCATTCTCCTCTCGGAATCTTGGGCACGCACGCACACGCGCCAGGCGTGAGTTTTAAGCCACCAGGTCTGGGACGCGAACCGCAGTCGACTACGTGGGAGTCCAGCAACATAGCCATTATACTAACTGCTGATTCCCAAGAGGATTAAATTGCTTCTTAAAAGAGGTGGCCCTGGAGTGGGGTCTTGAAAAGATATTGGATTTGGACACATGTATGTGGGAATAGGGAATACCATTCTGGACTGAGAGAACATCACGAGAAAGTCAGTAAGACAGAAAAATATGGTATGTCTTGCTAAGAGAGAATGGTCAGTTCTGCTAGGGTGTAAGGCATGATGAAGAATAATAGAGAAGTGTATCTGAAAAAGTAGGCTTGTGACAAATTTTGGAAGATCTGGAAAGATAAGGTTAAGACATTTGGCATAAATCAGATTTCTATTTTAGGAAAATCATTCCTAAATTTGTGTTGGAGGGTATTATTAGTAGAGAACAGTTAGGAACCCCCCCCTTTTTTATTTTCTGAGAGATTTTTGCTGTAGGGCTCGTGTGCTTGCCAAAGAGACAGAGACAGAGACAGACAGAAAGTGAGAAATTATCCCCCAGGGGGGATGGCCATGACACAATCCCTTCTCCTCTATTTTCCTCTCAGGATTTTGGGCATGCAAGTATAGGCACCTGGCGTGAGTTTCAAGCTACTGGGTCTGGGACTCAAGCCGCATTTAGCCATGTAGGAGTCCAGCACTTTAATCACTGTACCAGAAACTTTTCATTTTAATGGGAAAAATGTAGATAAAGGATGTGCTTTAGGCCAAATTGTGGCCATGAATTGTGCAACAATAAAAATGTAATTGTATAGTCACTTTTAAGATGGGAACTAGTTCTGTCTAGTAAAGTGATACATTTTTTAAAACTTTCTACTCTACCTCCCTCTTTTTGAATATATACAGTGGCAACAGTACAAATGAAGGGAGACTAGGCTCTATTTTCAGCTTTTTCTTTGGGTTACTTTGTAACATTGGTCAACTTAAGGAACTCTTTTGAGCTCACTTTCTTTTTTTCAAATGAGAATGGTAATTGTATTTAATAAAAAGGTATTTTATAGGGCTGAGTAAGGATCAGATGAAATCATATACACGAAATTATTTTGATAAAAAGGTAAGTGCTGTATACATTCAACCTATATTTAATATCCTCGGCATTTGCGGACTCGAATTTTCAGTTACCTTGTTCACACTGACTTGATGACTAAGAGTTGCTGAATATATTAGCAACAATGGCTTACAGTTGTAACAACAGCATTGGTTCTCTAACAGCTTAATTTTTTAAATTTATATTTTGAGAGGTTTTTGCTATAGGTGCGTGCGTTCGCCAGAAAGACAGAGAGAGACAGAGAGACAGAAGGTGAGACATCACCCCCCAGGGAGGATGGCCGCAGCTCAATCCCTTCTATTCCATTCTCCTCTTGGGATCTTGGGCACGCACGCACACGCACCCAGCGTTGAGTGTAAGCCACGGGGTCTGGGACTCAAACCATGGTTGACTACATGGGAATCCAGTGGCATAACCATTATGCCAACTGCTAGTCCCATCTAACAGCTTTATTTTAATTTTAATTTTTTAATTCTCAGAGGGCACATGTGCTCACTAGAGAGAGACAGAGATAGAAAAAGAGGAAGAGGGAGAATGCACCCCCCCTCCCCGCCCATGTGGTGTGGTTATACTAGATTCCCTTCTTCATCTCTGCATCCCATCAGGATTTTGGGCATGGATGCACATGTGCCCAGTATGTTTTTAAAGCATCCAGGGTTGGAATATGGACTATAGTCAGCCATATAAGATCTGGCTGGCTCCCTTATCCACTAAACTATGGGGCCTGCCATCTAAGAGCTTTTAAATAGCTTTTGGAAGGGCTAGCCCCGACCTTTATCCTTTATAAAAAATCTAAATATACCAGGAAGAAGGCCAATCACAGGGAAAAGTAATGGGCAGGAACTAAAGAAGAGTATTAGTGAGGCAATTGTATGAAATCTCAGAAAATTACACGTAGGAGGTGATGTCTGAACTGGCTTTGAAGGGTTGGGAGATAGGGAGAGTTTCTCAGGCAGCGAAACAGTCAACTCCCAGAGGCTGAAAGTGCAGGTATAGCAAGAAGTGAATGTAGTGTCAGACTGAAAGTAATTTTGAGCTGTAGAATAGTGCTTTGGGCAGCAACCTGGTGATTTCAGAATAACCACCCCTTTACTTTGCTTTTGCAGTTACTTGCATTTTTGTTGCTTTGGGAACAGATGGAGTTATACCTGCACTGGTGTCATAAGGTAGGACGTCTGCACTGTCATCAGAGACCTTAGACCACGACTGAGTGCACCACCTGTACTCGGTGTTATGTGCATAGGAGCCTTGTCTTTCATTGTTACCCCTAGAGGGAAGAAACACTGAACTAAACTAAACTAAACCCCTAGAGGGAAGAAACACTAAACTAAATTTCTAATGGTTATAACTGATTTACTGAAAGGACTGAACTCAAGCTGAACTCAGACTCTCTTCTTTCTCACTCACTTTGTGGCTCTGTTCTTCCTATTCCAATAAAATCTTAGGCAAAGTTTGTTTCCAGTCCTTCTTTGTCATAACATTCTCATTATAGTCATTACAAGTTTCTGTTTATTGTATTAACCCAAACTCCAACTTTATTCATCTTAAAATTCTTTCCCTTCCTTTTGTGAGTCTGACCCAAGCCTGGAAACCTGCTGTGGTAAAGGAATCATGAACCTTTTACCTCTCCTCCAACCAAATGGGACCTGGGGGAGAGGTGAGGAGACAAAAGCACAGTCCTGGAAGGAGGGGCAGCTGGCGTTGATGCCTTCTGAATAGCTGGCTCTTTCTCCCATTGGCCTTCTCTGCCTGTTCTCAGAGACCCTCCTGCTGAGGCCCGCCTGCAACTCTCTTGGTGAAGTCATTGCCTGCCTTCCTGTAGGCCCCTGAGATTTCTTTTTTGAGCTCCCTTAGTTTAGATCCCTGTGAAAGGACACCAGTTTGGTTTCGGTCGAAAGATCCATTTCTGGTCCCCAGAGAACAGGCAACTTTGCCCTTCTGTCTGTACATACAATTTCCAAACTAGCCTCTCTTACTCTGTTCTGCCATGGCCTGAACAGCTCCATTGAGAGCCTCTTGCCCTCTGTCCCCACCCCCTTTTTTAATGGGATCTCGTTCTGTATGATCCTCCTGCCTTAGTCACCCAAGTTGCTGGGACTATAGGCATACTTTACCATGCCCAGCTTTTAGAACAGGCTAGGGATTGAACCCAGGCCTCAGTTGCTGAGTAGCAGTGTTTGCCAGTACATGCTGCGTGGGCTGCTCTGCCTCTGCCTCTTGCTTTTTAATAGACTTTCTCAGACATAGGGGGTTTTTTTTGTTGTTTTTTGTTTTGTTTTTGAGAGGGATTTTTGCTATAGGACATGTGTGTTCACCAGAGAGACAGAGAGAAAGCGAGAAATCATGGCCCAGGAGGGTTGGCCATGCCACGATCTCTTCTCTTCCAGTTTCCACTTGGGATCTTGGGCATGCACACACATGCACCTGGTGTGAGTTTTAAGTTGCCGTGTCTATGACTCTTAACTGTAGTCCACTACATGGGAGCCCAGCAACACAACCGTTATACCATCTGCTGGTCCCTCAGACATAGTTTTTATTTTTTTTTTAAATAATTATTTTATTAACTTTATTCATTTACTTATTTTTATTTGTCAAAAGAGAGAGAGAGAGTGAGAGAGCAAAAGCAAGCTGCCACCAGGTCCAGGACTCAAACCATGGTCAGCCATGTGGGAGTCTAGGGCCCTTAACCACCACGCCACCAGCTGGCCTCCCTCAGACATAATTTTGATACTATTCTTGTGTTTTCCGAAATTAAGGTACATGTCAAACTCTGAGTGACACTCTTAAATCTCTTATTCAAATGAGAAATGTGAACTGTAAATATAAGTTTAAGAATTATTAGAGCCAATGGAAATTGAAGCCATATTCCAGGGAGTGAATGTAGACTGAAAAGTAAATGGATAGGTCTTACTGATATTGCATCTGTTTTGGAATTGGGGCACCAATTGGTCAATTGGTCATTACCAAAAATCCCTCTGCATTAAACCATTCTAATTACTGCTCCAGGCTTGTGCCTGTTACAGAAACCGCGTGTCCATTGTCTGTGCCAGTTAAGAACTGCTACTTGGCCTCTGACGCAGCGCGATCTCATCTTTCATTTTGAAACCAGGAAGGCCCATTTCGGTGGCAGAATCTCTTCTCTTTATTCAGGCATACAGAACAGCCGCCACAGGACTTTCTAAGGATGCTGACACTTTCCTCTCTAGTGTGTTTTTCAGTGTCCTCTGAAACCTCTCATAGAGCATGTTAGGGGGTAGGTTAGCTGATCATAGATGATACCATTTCTATAAATCTTTAGAGTATTTCTTCTGTATTACACCAAGAAATTGCTGGCACCCCCTTTTCATTAAGCATGTAGGCTACTATGGAGCCAAGATTTTAGATAATTGGCAAACAGAACCTCTGAGCTACTTAATACCTGGATTTCAGTATATTGAATCTGAATCTCTGATAAGTGTATCCATAACAGTAAATTTAGTCTCATATAAAATTATGTTGTTTTTCTAGCACCCTTAGAATTAGTTCCCACACATGTTCTACAGGATTTTTGCCTAATAGAAGATAACCAAAGCTAGCCATTCTGTTCCAAGCCTTCATCTTTTAAGGCATTCTGGGATCTAATTCCAGTTATAAGTCTGTAGGCAATAAGAAATAATGGAGGGGAATTCTGAGAGGAGTTGACATTCTTTTGGAAGGTCACTGTCTTAGGCCTTCAAATCAGAAATGACCAGGTTCATCTGACTTGGAAGGAGAGACTGCTGCTATTGGCAAGGGAGATTCTATGGTGCTTGGAGTTTTGATTTTTTTGTTCTCAGAATGAACCCAGAAAGAAAAGGATTAACTACAGATCTGTAACCTCCTTCCACTTCTACCTAAAGGTGCCCAGGTAGAAATGAATGGCCTTAATCAAAACTCCTTGTAAACATGTTGATAATCTGACATTCTGGTAAACATACAGAAAGCATTTATTAGCCTAAAGATGATGGAAAGTCCTTATCTGTAGAAAATTTCTAGCAGGAGATACATGCTATACCTAGATTGATTATATTGTAAGTTAACATGGAACACATAGATTTGTGTGGTAGGAGACATGGCTGGCTAGAGTTATATAATTAGTGAAGTATAAGATAAGGATGGAGACTGGCCCCTTAGCCTTGTGGTTAGGAGAGCAAGATTCCACATGGATGACTGAGGTTTGAATCTCAGTCCCAGTGGCTTGAAACACATGCTAGGCATATGTGCTTGTGTACCTGAAGTCCAATGGGACTGGGAAGTAGAGGAGAAGGGAATGGGTATGACCACATACTGATGGGGTGCTTTCTCCCTCTTGCTCTCTTTCTCTCTCTCTCTCATGAACACATGTGCCCTCAAGGGAATTTAAAAATATTTAAGAAAAGTATAAGGATGCTCCATAACCAAAATAGCATCCTCTCTGAAAAAATTTTGGACAGGGAACCAGCAGTTAGCGTAATGGCTATGTCGCTGGACTCCCACGTAGTCGACTACGGTTTGCGTCCCAGACCCGGTGGCTTGAAACTCATGCCGGGCACGTGTGCGTGCATGCCCAAGATCCCAAGAGGAGAATGGAGGAGAAGGGATTGTGGCGTGACCATCCCCTCTGGGGGGTGATTTCTCGCTTTCTGTCTCTCTGTCTCTCTCTGTCTGTCTGGTGAGCACACGCGCCCTATAGCAACAAAAACCTCTCAAAAAAAAGAAAAAAAATTGTACATATTTTGCCCAAAACACCCCTCACATTTGAAATCTGAAAACAAAGTATCTTAATATGGAAGAGGAAATACTTTTCGTGAATAGGCACATTCAACATGATCTGATTTTTCCATGGGAAGATTGTTTTTTCTGTACCTTATGATGGCATGTATCCTGTAACTCAGTTAAGTTGGATGTCACATAAGATCTGTGATTTATATGAGTCAGATTGGGCAATTCTGTTTTGTGTTGTAATGCATTTAGTTAGTTAATGATTATTTAAGATTTTTCATCTATGGGGTCAGGTGGTATGATGGTTGGAGTGCTGGAGTCCCATGTGGCTGACTATAGTTTGAGTCCCAGATCTGGTGATTTGCTTTCTCACTCCCCACCCCTTCTCTGATCAAGCTGAATAATAATAATAATAAATAATAATAAATAATTCTTTTTTAAAAAATATTTTTTATTTATGTACATAGAAGAGATTGACTAGGGTCTGCTAGAGATGGTGTAGTGGTTATGTTGTTGGACTCCCACATAGTTGACCACAGTTCGAGTCCTAGACTCAGTGGCTTAAGACTGAACTGACACCAGGCATGTGTGCATGCATGCCCAAAATCCCAAGAGGAGAATGGGGGAGAAGGGATTGTGGTGTGGCCATTCCTGAGGGTTGATTTTTTGTTTTCTGTCTCTCTCTCTCTCTCTGTCTCTCTGGCAAGTGTGTGCACCCTATAGCAAAAATCTCTCTTGAAAAAAAAATTTGACCTATACCTTTTTACTCTTGTGTTGTCCTTGCTGAATTCAGTTATCAGTGTTTTGTTAGTTTCACAAGATATTTTAGAAAGTGTTCTCTCTTTTTCTAATCTCTGTAAAAATTTGTTATGTATTAGAAATGATCCATCATTCAATGTTTGATAGAGGTTACTATTGCTGCCAGCAAGGAGTTATTTTTTTTGAGAATGCTAATTATGAATTCTGTTACTTTTTCTCCCCCTCCCCTTCCCCTCTCCACCTCCTCCCCCTTCTCCACCTCCTCCCCTTTCTCCTCCTCCTCCCCCTCCTCCTCCTCCTCTCCTTTTTTAGCTTGTTATAGGGCATATGTACTTGTTGGAGAGAGGAAAGATGGGAGAAGTGAGAAATCACTCCCTGGGGTGATGATCATGCTGAAATCCCTTTTCCATTCTCTAGGGATTTGGGGCATGCATGCCTGTGCCCAGCATGATTTCCAAGTCTCCAGGCTGGGGACTTGAACTGTGCAGTTGGATATGTGGGATCTAGCTGTTTTTATCTCTACACCACCTGCTGGGCAAGGTTTCAGTTACTTTCAATATAGAGATAATTGACAGGAAGGAGCTAAACACTCTCTAGAAAGCATCATAGATGTAGCAGTATACATTTGACAGGAAAGAAGTTAAGAATGTTATGTTTTCTTGATCTTATTGTTTGTTCTCTAAAGTATATAGTGTTCTGGCAGGCAGAAATTTTCATCTATTCAACAACATTTATTGGTGTTGACTATGTGCCAAAAAATCTGCAATACACTTATAATTGTAAGCAAAGCAAATATTATCCTTGACCTTGTGAAGTTTATAGTCTGTTGGAGAAAACACATATTGAAAGGTAGTTACAAAATATTATTGGGTTGTCAGAAAAGTCATGGCACATTTTTGCATGGAAAAACACAGAAAAAATACATCATGACTTTTCCATCAACCTAATATTTGTTTATCAATTGAGGAATAGGGAAGTAGTGAAGATTTGTAATGGCCATTGCTGAAACTGAGTGAAAGATACCAAGTGTGTTGCAGGCCCAGCTGAGGCTGGCAGTGATAAATTAGCGGCATCAGACCATATAGCTGTGTAATTTTTTCCAGCCGTGCTGTCTGCCAAAGGCTTAGGAGCAGAAAAGGCAAATGATTGTACCTTTCTAATGCTAGGTTAGATGTAAAGGATGAGGAATTGAGGTTCTTGATGTTATGAAGGCACACATACTATTTTTAAGGACAGTTCTGATCTAAGCTTAGTACCTGAAAGTCAGAAGATCCTTTCTCTTTCCACAGATCCTAATTCTACTAGTGATCCTGCTGTGCAGCTTTTTCTTCTTCCTCGTGTTCAGATTCTGGAAGGACAAGTGGCTTACAGCTGGACTGTCCTTGCAAGTAAGTATCATCCTCTAACTCTCACACTGTCTGCTCAAATATATCTAGACTGACTTTTGGCTTTCTCCCAGATCTTCGCTCCCTACCTGCACATGGGCTTCATAACTGTGATGGTTCTTCTTTCCTGGCCTGTGGCCTTCTACGTGGCCCGTTTAGAAAGAGAAGGTATGTCGTGTGGAGTGGAACCTAACCTTATCCCTTCAACTCTGGCTTTAGCTTGCATCTCTATTTATGAAACAAGCTTGTAACTAGCCGCCTCTATGCCTCTTTGAAATTTGAGTATCTTCTTCCTAGGGCATGCCTCTTGTGTTCTTACTCACCATCTCACTTGATCTGTGTATCCCACATGTGACCATGACCAAATGGATTGTCTTCCTAAGAGAGATTTTTCTTTTAAAAAAATTCTATTTTGGGGGACCAGCATAGTGGTTGAGATGCTGGACTCCCAAATGGCTGACCATGATTTGAGAACAGAACCTGGTTTGAAAATCATGCCAGGTGCATGCACATGTGTACCCAAAATCCCAAGAGGAGCATGGAGAAGGGGTTACAGCATGGCCATCCCCCCAGAGGGTGATTGCCCTTCCCTTCTCATTATCTTTCTCTGTGTCTCTCTAGGGAATGCATCCACCTTATAGCAAAAAATCTTTTTAAAAAATTCTATTTTAGTGTATGTTATTGCACATTGTCTACCTGGGGATGAATGGAAGTGGCAGAGATCATTTTAATATTACTCGATCAGAGTCTTGGGTCAAGTCATTTTTTTTTTTTTTGGTTTGTATTAAAGTAGTACTAGTTTCAATGAATACTATATCCAGAGATCCCTGGTTATATCCAAGCAATTCATAGTACTCCCCTGTGAGTTCCTGTCTTACCTGAGGAATCACAGCAGAAGTAGAAATACCTGTCTCTGATTTCCTCTTCATTCTTTGCCTTAATATAATGCTATAAAAGAGAAGGTGCTATTAAAGCTCCATACTTAGCTGTTTGGAGAATCGTGTTATCTTTCATCACTATCCCAATTGGATTTTCTCTTTATGTCTCTTTTTAACTATTGACTCATTAAAGGGTACTTCTTTTCTGACTTCTGAGGAGATGTAGGCAAGAGAAGACTACATTGATAGTGGTACCATTGTGAGTTTGCATATGTGTTCGTGTGAGTGGAGGGTAAATTTTAGAAAATATTTCTGGAGGAAGAGCTTAATAGGGACAGTAATGAACTTTCTCTCTTTACTTTCTAAATTTTAGTTAGAATAAGAAGATACAAGACGACATGTTACGAGAAAGAAAAACTCAAGAAGTGTAATATATTCACAAGATTAAGAGGTTAGAGCTGGAGACCTAGACTTGAAAGTCAGTGAAGCATAGATGGTAACTTAAAAGTGTACAAGTGAGTAAGAGCCTCAGGTCTAAAGTAGTAAATGTTGAGAATGCCCAGTGATAACAGGATAGGCAATGTACGTGAATGTGTTTTGTATGTGGAAGAGACAGGAAAAGAGGGTGGGGGAGGGAAAAGCACATAATATTTACTAAGTAACTATAAGGAGACAACACTGTCATGATGATTCTGTGAGGCTGATGTTAGCAGCAATACATTCTCATTTCACAAAAGAAAATGAACACCTAGAGAGGTCAAGTAAAAACGTATTCATTCACACAATCAGGAACAGGCAGAGCCTGGCTTTGAACCTATGTTTCTGTTAATTAGTGCCCTTCTATACTGTGCTGCTCTTACTATCGGGGTGTTTTAGGGTGACATTTACGAGCTTCAGGGCTTATCATGATCAGCCAAGTGCTTTATTCTCAGAAGCTGCTCCTTACATTCCCTCTCTTGGCTTCTCTCTCCACGCACTGCACAATTCCTTCTGTCATTTTAAAGTTACAGCCACATCACCTTAATAATAATGCCTTACATTTGGACAGTCCTAAACTTCTGTATCCTGACCTCTGAAAGTAAGTGAGGGTGTGACACAAATAGAAAGTGAATTAGCTAATCCACGGAGTCAGTGAGACTGACAGGGCTGGGAGATTAGATTTACTTAGACTGCTGCTTTGAGACAGTTGGTTGCTTAGGATGGTTCTCCATTCCTCTTTTCCTTTTTATTCCCATTTCCTCCTCCTCCCAACTTTTTCAGCTCTACAGTTGGCTACTGGATTGCCCTTTCTTCTTATCCTTGCATGTCTCTATTTGATACCACTGGGGATTTACTCTCCCTGCATTCAGGAGAAAGAGGATTTGGGACCCAAGCCAGTCTTCTTTGGACATAGAGGTGCACCCATGGTAGGTCTGAGCATGATGAACGTGGATGACAACAGGTATGGATGGGGTATGTGGAGGAGAGAGGGGAACCTCTGAACTACAGGAGCACCTGGAGAGAGAGAAATGATCTTGGAATGACAAGAATAAGATGTTAATTATAGAAGTTGGACTTGAACTCAGTTCAGCTAATTCCCAGTCCATATTTCTTTACTATGCCTCAGATGAGCAGAGTCCCAGAATCAGATTGGACATAGGGGACTATAGGTAGGCTCTTTGAAAAGAGAGCTGAGGGAGCCAAGCTCTGCTTCCTGAAGCCCTTTCATGACTAGGTTCTATCCCTACCATTAGAGGGATGTTGGGAGGGAGATTCTAAGGCATAGGATCTGATGCTCCTTTTTATTTTATTTTTTTCCACAGTTGGGGCCTGAGAATACTATGATGTCCTTTGAGAAGGCTGTTGAACAAGAGGCCTACGGTCTGGAGAGTGATGTATTTCTAAGGTAGGGAAGCAGGGATTAGGAGGGGGCTGGGAGGGAACAAGTCCAGTGCCATAGAAGAGGATCAGCTTAGCCCACAGTGTAGAAAGAGCAAACCCTGAGGAGTTTCTCCTATGGTCTCATGTTGCATTTGCACATTAACACACAGTAAATCATGTCTCCCTTACAAACCATACTCTGTACCTCTATATTCTCATTCACAGATCAGATGCATTCTATGTAGTCTCCATACTTGATTAAAATTTGTGCCCATCACAAATCCTGCTTACAACTTAACTTTATTTTCTACCTTAGAAATTTACCTAACATTCCCTGCATGCCTGCTGTAGTTTGGGTCCTCTTATGCACGAGTAGTCATGTCTTAGTGTTGTTTCCAGTTGGTGAGGGAAAGTGGTATGTTTATAGAACCACAGGATATGGCCATTTGTGGTGAGAGTCTTCTGAAGAATAAGTTAGGCACAGTGAAACATCATTGGAGTAGAAGACTACCTCCTATTTGTAAAGGATGGAAAAAAATGTTATGCTGAAAGTTGTATTTGGGTTGAATCTTGAAAGAAAAATATTATTTACCAAGAAGAGACAGGAGAAGGCGAGCCTTCCAGGCAGAAGAATCAGCTTATTCAGAGGTGTCTGAGTGAGGAATAAGCAGTGCGCATATCAACGAGGTAACCTGTGTAGAAGGCAGAAGTGCCGTGATTGGGGGACAGAAGAGGGCTGTGTGAGGAGAAGGTATGCCTGCACAACTGACTGTGGCTGGGTTATGAAGATCCCTGCATTTGTAGTGGCAGTCATTGTAGGACTTAGAGGACAGGTTACCGTGCTGTTCTAGAAAGATTGTTTTAGAATCATCTTGCAGTCTATGAAGAAGAATTATCAGGGATATAGGTAGCAATGGTCTAAGAGGAGGCAAAGACTTGCATCAGAGCAGAGGAGGGGACAAAAAGACTTGTTTTGCTATAGAATTTGTGTATTAGGCAGCTGAAGAAGTAGAAAGGCTTTATTCTAGCACGGATATATTCATGTGTGTGATGTGTACAAAGTCCCTTCACAGTCACAATTTGTGAGGCAAACAGAAATGAACTTCTGTTTCACAGAAGTGGAAGCTGGTTGGAACCTGAATTGAAAAAAGGTAAAGGTATTTCCCTGGCCATAAGACTAGAATGTACATGATAAAGTCAGGCTTAGCCTTAGATTTCCTGACCCCAGGGTGGGATTTCTGGCATTACCCAACAACAGCAACCATTCCACACAGAACATTTTTGAATTAAGATTGGGGAGCTGCAGATGGCGTAATGGTTATGTCACTGGACTCCTGTGTTCAACTGTGGTTCGAGTCCTGGACCCAGTAGCTTGAAACCGCATGCTGGGCACAGGTGTGCGTGCGCCCCAAATCCCCAGAGGAGAATGGAGGAAGAGGGATTGTGGCATGGCCATCCCCTCTGTGGGTGATTTCTCATTTTATGTCTCTCTCTGTCTCTCCAGCAAGCCTGAGAAAGACAGAGACAAAAATCACTTCCACATGCCTACACCTTATAGCAAAAATCTCTCTCTCTCTCTCTCTCTCAAAAAAAAAAAAAGTTTGAAACTGGTTGGTCTAGCAGAACTCCCAGGGTTATCCATGGAAGTGCCTGGTGAGGTCATGAGTATAATGTGGTATAAAGGTGCTGAGCCAATGAACTTTGATGCAGATCATCCTTTCCACTCTCTCATTTCTCTGCTTGTTGACATTTTCATTTCCACATATCTCTGCTACTTTTATACACACAGCTTCGTTATCAAAGTCCAGTCAGGACATGAAAACAATACCAGTAATTTGAACAGAAAAAATATAATATCAAGAACTATTAAGTATTAAAATGTTGTTAACTACTAACAGAGGTAAAAGAGGACCCTAAGAAGTACGAGAGTAACTAGAATTCCTGGTTCCAGACAAGATAGAGTAAGTATAGAGAAGAGGCCAGGCCTTCAGAAGAAGGTTCCACATGGCTCCAGCGAACTAGGTATTGCAGGGAATGAAGATTTTCTACTGATGATTCAGCCTCCAGTAAACAAGCTAGCGGCAGAAGAGGCCAGGCCTTCAGAAAAAGGTTCCACATGGCTCCAGTGAACTAGGTATTGCAGGGAATGAAGATTTTCTACTGATAATTCAGCCTCCAGCAAATGAGCTAGCGCAATCACAACAGAACGGCAAAGAGATTCTAGATCACCTCTGTCTGCTTGCTCCTGAACATTCAGACTGAACTTCAAGAATTTGAAAGAAACACACCATCCATCAGATGACAAGAAATCACCGCCGGATAACAAGAAATGTGGGAAAACAAGAAAATACCTCTCCTCCAAGGGAAAAGAATAACTCTTCTTCATCCACAAGCGGTTTGGTGAAAATCATGGAAGTGTCTGATAAGGAATTTAGAGCATTCATAATGTCGAAGCTAACAGAGATAGGAGAGAAGAGAGATAATGAACTGCTAAAGAGAAAGGAGAAGGAAGTTGATGAGTTCCAGGAGATGAGGAAATTCTTGCAAGATCTAAAAGAGGAATTACACACTTTACGAAAGACTCAAATGGAACTGTTAGAGATGGAGTCTATAATACAGGAAGTCAAAAGCTCCCTTGAAAGTATTAAAAGCAGACTAGATCATTCAGAAAATAGAATCTCAGATGTAGAAGAGAAAATGGCTGCCCTAGAAAAATCCACCACAAAGACTGAGAAAATGGCCCCAAAATTTGAGAATAATATACGAGAAATACTAGATACCATCAAATGTCCAAATATCCGGATAATTGGCATTCCAGAAGGTGAAGAGACCCATAAGGGCATTGATAATCTATTCCATGAA